CCTGTAATGTGTTATGCGCTATAAAAGAACTGAGTATTATCAGGTGGGCTGTATAACGTACAGACCACCTTATAATTTCGTTAGAATTGCCTTTATTTATATATTTTTCTTATTTCTAACCACTTTTTTGTGAACAAGATAACTTGGAAATGGCTCAATCAAATGCCTAGAAATTTGGCACACATATGTATAGACATATGTACAAAGCACAATAACGTTTTCAACATTGACCTTGACTGATGACGTCATCTAGGCGCCATTTTGTAAAATTTTACGAAAATCAACTCATGATCATATCTTCATAACCAAAAGGTATTTCTCGTTCATATTTATCATGATCAAGGTCAATATCCGTCCGGTCAATAAAAGGTCAAATAACGCGCGCCTGCGCGTACGTCCGCGCGTCAATGCGCGCGCAAAATTTTGAAATGCTCAAAATCGTCTGAAAATCATTTTGCATACGTTTTAGGCCATTCTAAGCATTTTATAAAAAATCGCGCGTACGAGCATGCGCGCGCGTTTTCGCGCGTAAAACTTTTGCACAACATTGAATTGCTTTTTTTTTTCTTTCATAATATACCACATATATTTACAAACAAATTGATACCACGTTTGTCTCTTTATGACTATTAATAACGGATTGATCGACCGTTTAACAAAAATTTCCGTGCGCGCGAGCTCTTGTAATACATAGCAAATATGGGCAAAAACATGCCTATACAAAATCCATTGTAGCTCTTTAGGATGCAAGGTGACCCCAATTTGTTTTCATATTTTAATAGAGTATGATTCGGAGATATTGTTTCATGTCTCATTCGACCCTCAATTAACTCATGACGTCATCACAATGGCCTCCGAACTCAAAATTCCAATTTGCATATTATGACGTCAGCATATTTATGGAAAATTGATTGTATCTCTGTAAATATTGATTGATTTTCTTCCAAATTTTGATATGTTCTAGCTGAGACAATTCCCTACAAAGGCAATTGCTATTATTTTTCATTTTGACAAAGGCATGGCGTATTTTTGCGATTAAAGGAGGCATGTAAATTTTTTACATTTTGCGTGTATTCTCTATGGGATATGACTTTTTCTCAAAACTCTATTCTACATTCCCGTCTTTCGCGAGCAATATCTACGTCGTTTTAGCTTCGTTTACGCTGAACTTCGAGTATGTTGTAGATGAGACAAAAAGCTATCTCAAATGTACCCTTAATTTCGTTAGAATTGCCTTTATTTATATATTTTTCTTATTTCTAACCACTTTTTTGTGAACAAGATAACTTGGAAATGGCTCAATCAAATGCCTAGAAATTTGGCACACATATGTATAGACATATGTACAAAGCACAATAACGTTTTCAACATTGACCTTCACTGATGACGTCATCTAGGCGCCATTTTGTAAAATTTTACGAAAATCAACTCATGATCATATCTTCATAACCAAAAGGTATTTCTCGTTCATATTTATCATGATCAAGGTCAATATCCGTCCGGTCAATAAAAGGTCAAATAACGCGCGCCTGCGCGTACGTCCGCGCGTCAATGCGCGCGCAAAATTTTGAAATGCTCAAAATCGTCTGAAAATCATTTTGCATACGTTTTAGGCCATTCTAAGCATTTTATAAAAAATCGCGCGTACGAGCATGCGCGCGCGTTTTCGCGCGTAAAACTTTTGCACAACATTGAATTGCTTTTTTTTTTCTTTCATAATATACCACATATATTTACAAACAAATTGATACCACGTTTGTCTCTTTATGACTATTAATAACGGATTGATCGACCGTTTAACAAAAATTTCCGTGCGCGCGAGCTCTTGTAATACATAGCAAATATGGGCAAAAACATGCCTATACAAAATCCATTGTAGCTCTTTAGGATGCAAGGTGACCCCAATTTGTTTTCATATTTTAATAGAGTATGATTCGGAGATATTGTTTCATGTCTCATTCGACCCTCAATTAACTCATGACGTCATCACAATGGCCTCCGAACTCAAAATTCCAATTTGCATATTATGACGTCAGCATATTTATGGAAAATTGATTGTATCTCTGTAAATATTGATTGATTTTCTTCCAAATTTTGATATGTTCTAGCTGAGACAATTCCCTACAAAGGCAATAGGCCTGTTTACTAATGTATTCACGGACCTTTAAATTTGCACACGGTTGTAAGCTCTGGCAAACAAACCGAGCGCAGTGTCTGCTACGGCCCTGCTACACACACTTTGTATACGGCGATGTGGGGAATGCGAGGAAAAAAAGGCTGATCATCGTCCTAATAAACTTCGTTTAAAACTGTTTGTTTTCCAACCTTAGGGTATATAATTAAAATAAATATAGTTTTTCTCAGTTGTACATGACAAATCTTCGATTTTATTTTCCGAAATCCGACGAAATATCGCAAAAATGGGAGGTAAGCATTGCTGTTACGGCACGTGTAACAGCGATTCACGGTACGCAGACAGACCCCATATGAATGGTGTGTTTTTCATCCCGTTCCCCAAACCAAAGACGAACCTGGAGAAGTGTAAAATATGGATTAAGAATTGTGGAAGAAAGGACTTTGGAATCGACATATTATATGCTTTGAGTTTCTTTCTGTCGTAGTCAGTTCTATTTACTATCAGGTAGTTGAAAATGTCGTATAATCCGAAATCTGGTATACTTTCAAAGTTCTCGGTGTAGCCGGTGATTTTCATTGGGTCGTCGAACGAGCACCCCGCACGCTCCAACTTCTCCCGCAGCGACCGTGCGGAGTCGAAGCTCGCAAGGTCCGGGTCTTGGGGCAAAGCGATATCGGCCACAGCAGTCGCAAGTTGAACTAGTTTCTGTTTGTTGTACCCTGATGTCGTAACTCCTCTCTTTCTTAAATAATCGGTGAGCTCCTTCACTGTCCACTGCGAAAACGGCTTGCTGGAACTACAACTCGATGTCGAAGGCGATGCCATTGTAGAAATTAGGGTGAAAAAACGTCGCGGTCGCTAGCAATGGCTTTGTATGTGTATAGCTTAGCGGGCATGGAAAAACAATGTGGCGACCGTGCCGCACCACGCAAAGCTTGCCCTACGTAGTAACAATCGCTAGGGTGCGAGGGATTATGACGTCACTCGCATATCATTAGTAAACAGGCCTATTGCTATTATTTTTCATTTTGACAAAGGCATGGCGTATTTTTGCGATTAAAGGAGGCATGTAAATTTTTTACATTTTGCGTGTATTCTCTATGGGATATGACTTTTTCTCAAAACTCTATTCTACATTCCCGTCTTTCGCGAGCAATATCTACGTCGTTTTAGCTTCGTTTACGCTGAACTTCGAGTATGTTGTAGATGAGACAAAAAGCTATCTCAAATGTACCCTTAATTTCGTTAGAATTGCCTTTATTTATATATTTTTCTTATTTCTAACCACTTTTTCGTGAACAAGATAACTTGGAAATGGCTCAATCAAATGCCTAGAAATTTGGCACACATATGTATAGACATATGTACAAAGCACAATAACGTTTTCAACATTGACCTTGACTGATGACGTCATCTAGGCGCCATTTTGTAAAATTTTACGAAAATCAACTCATGATCATATCTTCATAACCAAAAGGTATTTCTCGTTCATATTTATCATGATCAAGGTCAATATCCGTCCGGTCAATAAAAGGTCAAATAACGCGCGCCTGCGCGTACGTCCGCGCGTCAATGCGCGCGCAAAATTTTGAAATGCTCAAAATCGTCTGAAAATCATTTTGCATACGTTTTAGGCCATTCTAAGCATTTTATAAAAAATCGCGCGTACGAGCATGCGCGCGCGTTTTCGCGCGTAAAACTTTTGCACAACATTGAATTGCTTTTTTTTTTCTTTCATAATATACCACATATATTTACAAACAAATTGATACCACGTTTGTCTCTTTATGACTATTAATAACGGATTGATCGACCGTTTAACAAAAATTTCCGTGCGCGCGAGCTCTTGTAATACATAGCAAATATGGGCAAAAACATGCCTATACAAAATCCATTGTAGCTCTTTAGGATGCAAGGTGACCCCAATTTGTTTTCATATTTTAATAGAGTATGATTCGGAGATATTGTTTCATGTCTCATTCGACCCTCAATTAACTCATGACGTCATCACAATGGCCTCCGAACTCAAAATTCCAATTTGCATATTATGACGTCAGCATATTTATGGAAAATTGATTGTATCTCTGTAAATATTGATTAATTTTCTTCCAAATTTTGATATGTTCTAGCTGAGACAATTCTCTGCAAAGGCAATTGCTATTATTTTTCATTTTGACAAAGGCATGGCGTATTTTTGCGATTAAAGGAGGCATGTAAATTTTTCACATTTTGCGTGTATTCTCTATGGGATATGACTTTTTCTCAAAACTCTATTCTACATTCCCGTCTTTCGCGAGCAATATCTACGTCGTTTTAGCTTCGTTTACGCTGAACTTCGAGTATGTTGTAGATGAGACAAAAAGCTATCTCAAATGTACCCTTTATTTTGTCTCAATTTTTTGTTGGATCAGCCCACCTATACTTGTTCCAAACAAGTATTACAAATCTAGTTATTATTATTATTACCAACACAATTGATATGTATTATATTGTAATAAAATAGAGGATATTTCGAATATATCTAATCCTCCAAAATGACATTCAAAGAATAAGAAAGCTCACAACTTATTCTCTATCTTCACCAAAGCCCAACCTTCTCTTACGTGGCTCGAACAAATTAAAAAGTCCCCTCTAAGCATTATAAACATTTAGTTAAACAATAAAAGTGATCACCGCGTCTATCATTTCTCTCTTTTAAATAGGAAATTTGTACTTCTGAATATGAATGTGGCGATTGCCTAAAGTTTTCTTGTTCTGTTCTTGTTTTTACAATGCACCCATGTCAATCCAAATCAAAATGAAAACCTTATTAATCATCTATTTATCATTATTTGTTTATGATAATGTATGTTTTACTATTCATTTAACACAGAGTGTTACCTCGATCAGCTCTGATGATGTCCATGGCAGGAGACCTGAGAATTTATGCGAATGACAACAAAGAAAAGAAAAGTGATATTAACATATTGTTTCAACCTTCAGGATATACTTAGGCAAGCAAAAGGTATTTGATCAAATATCCACAGATTTTTTACCCAGGAGATCAAAATCCCACTTTCGGCATTTAAGAATAATCATTGCTAAAGTAATGAAGGTGCTTCATAAATGACTACTTTTTGTTTTCCTTCTAGGAAATAATACTTCCACCTGTGTACAATAGAATAAACTGTTGGTGCATAAATGAATAATGACCGCATGCTTTCATGAACACATATCCAGTGTTCATCTCAATGCTTTAAAAAAAAGTATTTTTTGAATAGTTTTACAATATCTTCAAACTCGTTTATATAATCATCAGGAATACTGACATTTCAGACATGGTCAGGACAAAATTGGACATATGTTATGTATGGGAGAATTAGCCTTCTTAAACGCATTTTTGCACACACTTTTGCCAATAAAGACTCAACTATCTAAAGAAAAAAAAACCAAACAAAATTCAGCACAACTTGTGCCAACTTGCCAAAAAAAATATCTGACTAAAATTTTAAAGAAATTACTGCACTTTTGAGTATTGCTCTTTATTCTAGTGTTCATATTGGCTGAATTCAATTTGAACACTTTTTAATAGATCTGCCGAGGTGAAATTGCCCTTTTTAATCCGTGTTTGATTATAAACCTTGGTACCAACCGTAGATATACCTCGGCTGGAAACCCAAATCCAAATTTAAGAAAGCCAAGTTAATAATTTTCATTTGTTTTTTAAATAATAAACACACTTTACCAGTTAGAGTGTATCTGACTAAAGTTTTTTTAACAGTATTATCAACTAGTCACTGGGCACTTTGCAGTGCACACTCCACTCCCTGTGGAGCCTTTTAGCCAGTCACACTGTTGTTTGGTCGTGCACAAGCTAATCAAATCACATAGGCGTTCACATCCTAGCAGGTACACATTTACTACCTGGATGGAGTGGAGCATTGTATATAACAAATGCCCAAGGACATACATGTCATGCAGAGAATCTAAAGAACCCACGACCTTTGGCATTTTAAGTCGAGTGATTAAATCACTTGACTATGACACCGCTTCTATATTTGTTCCAAATTAATATAATACTCCCTCACCTTGAGAATATCATCTGGCGAATGACTTCATCCTTGGCATAGTGGACTGGTAGGTTGCCTTGGTTATCCTTGATATCCGGCTTTGCTCCGTGGTCCAAGAGATAGAACACCAGCGCCTTCTTGGGAGACAATTCATTCTGATAGAATTCTTCTGAGATCTAAAAGAATTATCAATAGAAACGATTGTTTAAACTTTGAGGGGCCTTTGTGTTTCAGAAGATTTATCCACAGATTCATAATTCCGAACATTTGTTGTGTTTTTCTGATGGTTCGTTTATGTTTATAATTCTAAAAGTTAGATAGGTTTCATTACTCCAAAGGTTTGTTTATCCGAAAATGGAATAAGGTTCGTTATTCCAAAGGGTTTGTAATTCCAAAAAGTGATACAGAATTGTTGTCATTTTTGCAATTATGAGCTCAATTTTACTTTCAGACTTACAAACCCTCTTTAGTTTTCAGAATTATATGAATCCTATTTCATTTTTCAGAAATAAGACCTCTTTTTTTGTAATGTTGCTATAGAGACTTATTCATCGTTAAATGGCTATGCTAACTCATGTGTGATTTGTATGATTCCAATTGCATAATTGTAAGTAAGCAATCCGGTTAGTGTAGGAAATTACTTTATAGCAATTGTCGGAGGAACAAGTGTCGTACAATCCCAGGGACAGTGTATTCTAAAGTTCAATATCTTACCTTTTGGAGTGCTGGTGTTGATTCGACCCTGCTGTCCTTCCTACCAGAGAGTATGATGGCTTCGTGAAGACAGGTCTGTCCGTCGATGGACTGGATGTTGAGATCGGCGCCATGAGAAACTAATGTCTCGATGATGGAGGTGTAGCCATTTTGTGTGGCTAAATGAACTGGTGTACAGCCTTTCTCAGAATGTTGTCCAACAACCTGTGTAAAACACCAGCCTCAAGAATTACAATCTACAAAAAAAACAACAGCTTTTTATGAAGCAGTGTCTTTTCTAGCTTTCCATATCTTTAATCACCAAAAAGACTTACATACATACAGATATTAACATTTAAACAAATATTAAATCTGTCTGTTAAGGTCAACCATGGGAAACACAAAAAATGGTCACTGTTGACAGTTGGCCTTTGTAGAGAGATTCTCAAACACACATTTCTTTCTCGAGGGAGGCAAAATGAACGATCACGATGCACAGGTGGCTTTCATAGAGAGGTGGCCACTAAGACAGGTTTGACTAACATGTATATGTACTGGTACAAATTAGGGTTTGAGAAGCCCTCGTGGAATCATTTCAACCTTTTTCATAATTCAGACAATCTATATTACTTCACAAGAAAGTTTTAACAGGATTATTAAGGCTAAACATTTGCTAGCCCTTTTCAATTTATATTGATATGATTTTAATACTTGCAAGAATATTGATAAACTGTATGATATTTTTTCCTATGAAATATATAGGAATACTAAATTAAATACCTTCTTCTCATCTCCTGTTAAACCCTCGGTATCAGCATGGCCATTTGGGGAAGACGGATGTTTCTGCCCTTCAGCACACCGCGTATCTGGACTTGTCCCATGTACTTGGCCTTGTTCTGCTGCGAGTTGCAACGCAGTCTTCTCAGGTATACTCAGATCTACTTCAGCTCCGTGCTCCAATAGATATCTTGTGACATCGGTATGTCCATTTGCAGCAGACAAATGCAATGCAGATGATCCCTTCTTGGTAACCTTGCTTACATCTGCAAGTTGCTGAAGTAGACACTTCATGACATCGATGTGACCGTTCTGAGCAGCAATGTGCAAGGGAGTCCAGCCGTCATTGTCTGTCGCATCAATTTCGGCTCCGTGGTTGAGCAAGCTATTTGTGATATCGAGATGACCATTCTGCACGCCGACATGTAGGGCTGTAGAACCTTTCTCCTTGGTGGCTCCGTTGACCTCTGCTCCTTGCCTAAGCAAACGCTCGATAACGCCGCAACGGCCAATGAATGCAGCAACATGCAAAGGAGAGATACCATCAACATCCCCTTTAGCTACTTCAGCTCCTTGTCCAAGTAGATAATCTACAATATCAAGATGACCCATTTGCGCAGCTAAATGAAGAGCAGTCCAGCCAGCATTGCTGCTTTCGTTCACTTCAGCTCCTTGACTGACCAGATACCGAACAACTGCTAAACTGCCACCTTCTACAGCATATTGTAATGATGTGCGACTAACTCTTCTGCCTCCTTGACTTGCAAGAAGATCTGGAATGTCGAGATCAGACAATATACCTGGCCTATGCACAATAACCATTCCACCTGGAACTGTCTTTTCATCATCGCCATCTTGATATTTGCTTCTACCAAGATCACTTTCTGTAGCACCTCTAAAGACAGTGAGAGAATCAATTAGTCTGCTAACTGCTTGAACTACACGACTATGCACACATCGCACACCATCATAGTGACCATACTGTCCATCAAATTGTAAGATGACAGAGTGCCACACGCTTCTCTTATTCAGTTCACAGCCTTGGCTGAGCAGATACTTCGTAATGTCGATCTGACGATTACATAAAGCATAATGGAGAGCAGTGGTTCCAACTGCGCTGCCAATATTTGCCTCCACTCCATGACTGATTAGGGATTTGACGATATCTAAATGGCTAAAAAGTGATGCAAAATGAAGGGAAGTCAATCCAAGGTCATCTCTTTTATTCATATCGGCCCCTTCACTGATCAGATATTCCACGACATCCAAGTACCCTTTCTCTGAGGCACTATGCAAGGCACACCTACCAAAGTCATTGCTAGAATTCACATCAGCTCCTTGACTTAGCAAATATTTGGTCATATCAAGGTGTCCGTTACTTGCTGCAAGTTTTAAGGCTGTCCAACCAAAAGAACCAGCTTTATTCAGCTCGGCTCCTTGACTGACTTGATCTTTCATGGCATCAAGATCGCCTCTCTCTGCAACGGAATGAAACTCCGTCCAAGGAATGATATTTGCTTTGGCCAGCTCAGCTTGCTGACTAAGCAAAGCACTTGAAACACGTACATAACCAGCAGCTGCGGCAAGGTATAAGGCTGACCATCCTTTGTCACTATCCTTACCAACATCAGCTCCTTGAGTGATTAATTCTGTGACAACATCAAGATGTCCTTCATTAGCGGCTGAATGTAATGCAGTCCAACCATCATTATCATCTTTATCCACTTCAGCTCTTTGACTGATGAGATATTTGGTGACATCAAGATGACCATTAGATGCAGCTAGTTGTAATGGGGTCGAACCATCATTATCACCCTTATTCACTTCAGCTCTTTGACTGATGAGATATTTGGTGACATCAAGATGACCATTGTGCGCAGCTAGTTGTAATGGGGTCGAACCATCATCATCACCTTTATTCACTTCAGCTCTTTGACTGATGAGATATTTGGTGACATCAAGATGACCATTCTGTACGGCTAGTTGTAATGGGGTCATACCCTCATTGCTGCTCTCATTGACTTCAGCTCCCTGACTAATCAGACATCCGGTGACATCAAGATGACCTTTATCTGCAGCAAGATGTAATGGGGTCAAACCCTCAGTTCCGCCATTATTAACCTCGGCTCCTTGACTGATCAGAAATTTGATGACATCAAGATGACCATTGTGCGCAGCTAGTTGTAATGGGGTCCTACCATCATTATCACCTTTATTCACTTCAGCTCTTTGACTGATGAGATATTTTGTGACATCAAGATGACCATTAGATGCAGCTAGTTGTAATGGGGTCAAACCATCATTATCATCTTTATCCACTTCAGCTCCTTGACTGATCAGATATTTGGTGACATCAAGATGACCATTTTGTGCAGGTAGATGTAATAGGGTCAAACCATTATTATCATATTTATCCACTTCAGCTCCTTGACTGATCAGATATTCGATGACATCAAAATGACCATTAGATGCAGCTAGTCGTAATGGGGTCCTACCATCATTATCATCTTTATCCACTTCAGCTCCTTGACTGATCAGATATTTGATGACATCATGATGACCATTAGATGCAGCTAGTTGTAATGGGGTCGAACCATCATTATCATCTTTATCCACTTCAGCTCCTTGACTGATCAGATATTTGGTGACATCAAGATGACCATTTTGTGCAGGTAGATGTAAGGGGGTCAAACCATTATTATCATATTTATCCACTTGAGCTCCTTGACTGATCAGATATTTGATGACATCAAGATGACCATTAGATGCAGCAAGATGTAATGGGGTCAAACCTGTATTATCATATTTATCCACTTCAGCTCCTTGACTGATCAGAAATTTGATGACATCAAGATGACCATTAGATGCAGCTAGTCGTAATGGGGTCGAACCATCATTATCATCTTTATCCACTTGAGCTCCTTGACTGATCAGATATTTGATGACATCAAGATGACCATTAGATGCAGCAAGATGTAATGGGGTCAAACCTGTATTATCATATTTATCCACTTCAGCTCCTTGACTGATCAGATATTCGATGACATCAAAATAACCATTAGATACAGCTAGTCGTAATGGGGTCCTACCATCATTATCATCTTTATCCACTTCAGCTCCTTGACTGATCAGATATTTGATGACATCAAAATGACCATTAGATGAAGCTAGTTGTAATGGGGTCGAACCATCATTATCATCTTTATCCACTTCAGCTTCCTGACTTATCAGATATTTGATGACATCAAGATGACCATTCTGTGCAGCTAGTTGTAATGGGGTCGAACCATCATTATCACCTTTATTCACTTCAGCTCTTTGACTGATGAGATATTTGGTGACATCAAGATGACCATTTTGTGCAGGTAGATGTAATGGGGTCAAACCATTATTATCATATTTATCCACTTGAGCTCCTTGACTGATCAGATATTTGATGACATCAAGATGACCACAATGTGCAGCAAGATGTAATGGGGTCAAACCTGTATTATCATATTTATCCACTTCAGCTCCTTGACTGATCAGATATTTGATGACATCAAAATGGCCATGAGATACAGCTAGTCGTAATGGGGTCCTACCATCATTATCATCTTTATCCACTTCAGCTCCTTGACTGATCAGATATTTGATGACATCAAAATGACCATTAGATGCAGCTAGTCGTAATGGGGTCCTACCATCATTATCATCTTTATTCACTTCAGCTCTTTGACTGATGAGATATTTGGTGACATCAAGATGACCATTAGATGCAGCTAGTTGTAATGGGGTCGAACCATCATTATCATCTTTATCCACTTCAGCTCCTTGACTTATCAGATATTTGATGACATCAAAATGACCATTAGATGCAGCTAGTCGTAATGGGGTCCTACCATCATTATCATCTTTATCCACTTCAGCTCCTTGACTGATCAGATATTTGATGACATCAAAATGACCATTAGATGCAGCTAGTCGTAATGGGGTCTTACCATCATTATCATCTTTATCCACTTCAGCTCCTTGACTAATCAGACAGTTGGTGACATCAAGATGACCATTCTGTGCAGCTAGTTGTAATGGGGTCCTACCATTATTGCTGCTCTCATTGACTTCAGCTCCTTGACTGATCAGATATTTGGTGACATCAAGATGACCACAATGTGCAGCTAGATGTAATGGGGTCAAAACCGTCATTATCGACTTTATTCACCTCGGCTCCTCTACCGATCAGTTCTTGGAAGAGGTCAAGTTGTCCATTCTGCGCAGCACTGCTTAATGCACTCTGCAAATCTTCAACACTGCCATCTTGTTCATTTTCCTCCTTACTGTCTCTGTGGATCGGACTTTTGGCGTTGCGTTTACGACTGACCCCCTTTTTGAAAATCTTCTTTCACATTCCTAGTGAAACCTAAGGGTCTCTCTCCTTGCTTAAGTTCATGAATTTATCAAGATATTTTAGGGCTGTTTAAATTTTTCCCCTACATGCTGTATCTTCTCATTTTTCTGCCCCATTCCTAGTGAAAGCTAGAAGATGACATCAGTGCATCACCAAAAAACCTAGAAAAAAGGGAACATGTTTAAATATTCGCAAATTCGGTCACTGGTGAGGTACATATTTTTTTTAATTGGATGGAAAGGGCATATCTTGAAGTATCTCAGTCCAAAAAGGGTACGGCTTTGGCCAGGCACGATTGATCTTAGCCACTGAAAGATTTTAAGAATTTTAGAGGGCGCTATTTATATCATGCGTTATTATTGGAGCGTGAAATTTAGCGAGGTTATGTGCATCGATAAGATTAAATACTGTAGAAGTTTGAAACAAAACGGAATTGGTATGAGAAAGTGACGGCAGTTTACGGTTTTTTAGGGGTCAATATTTATACAATTTAAAGCGATTTTTGGCAGAGTTGATTTCGGATTTGAATTTTCCAATTCTAATCTATATTTTGTTCTTGTTTTGTTTTGTTACGTATTCTATATTTTATAAAGCACTTTTAATTACCAGTTACAATGTAGACCACTCGACTATGACACCATTTATACATTTCTTTCAAATGCCCATGTTGATTTAATCCTTCCCTACCTTGATAATATTATCTGGCGAATGATTTCATCCTTGACATAGTGGACTGGTACGTTGCCTTGTATTGTTAGACAGGTGGTCTTTGTAGACAGGTAGTCACTAAAGCAGGTTTGACTGTAATTGTTTAATGTAATACAGGGCTCTCTTGCAAAGCAGTTTTGATTTACTGAAGAGACCACCATGTTATAAACTTTTCAACGAATAAAGATATATATATATTAATGATAATAATAATGATCCGTGTTCTTATATAGCGCTCAATACACCGATCCAACGATGTGCCTAAGCGCTTTACAGATATATATGTTTCTAACAACCAGTTTTTCCATCAATCAAAGGTCACATCTCACTCTCCTATTCAGTTTATTCGGTTCGTTGGTCTCATTATAATGAATTCATGATCCCCCTTAATACGCAATACTCAATTTGGGAATTTCTTTAAAAATAAGTACAAGCGAAATTTACTGTCCGAGTATGTTTCAGTTAAATGCAATTTAGCGTGTAACCGTCAAATTCCTGAAAATTTATATAATATTTTTTATTCTTTGTAATGGATGTATCAACTTGGCAAGCCACATAGGCCCTTACTGATACACCCTATTTCATTTTCCAACAATTGCATTTAAATTTAATTACTTTGTTTCACATATTTAGGTCGCTTGTTATAATTATGTACATTGTAAATGTTTACAACCATATTTTTTAAAATACTGAATTTGAAATAAAATGGATCAATCAATCAATCAATCAGATGTAACAGTATTCATTGTCACTATTCCATGATAACTATTCCGATCTGTATATGACCTTTAATAACTATACTTGACATTAAATTACTAGATAACCATCATAGGTGAATCATACTCCCTCAGAAGCTGGGAATACAACTATCATGCATCAGCATGGTACATTGGACTCAAAAGGTTTATGCAAATCGCCTAACATTGCCCGAATGTTGAAAAATTCGCTAACGACATGAGATCACGAATCATCACCATTACCATCAACATGACCATCAACAACAACTACAGCAAATCTTCCCCTACGACAACTACCCCTAGGGCAATGACCCCCTTGAGCAACCACCCTCTGGGACGATTACCCACCGGGACAACTACCCCTGAAAAACTACCCCTGGACAACTACCCCCAGACAACTACCCTCTAGGACAACTACCCCCTAGGAAAACTAACCCTAGGGTTACCACCCTCTAGGACGACTACCCCAGACACCTACCCTCTACGACAACCATCCTCTAGGATACCTACCCCCTGGACAAGTATCCTAGGGGGTAGTTGCCTCGGGAGTAGTTGTCCGGGGGGGGGGGGGTAGTCGTCATAAAGGGTGGTTGCCCTAGGGGGTAGTTGTCCTGGTGGTAGTTGTCCGGGGGGGGGGTAGTCGTCATAGAGGGTGGTTGCCCTAGGGGGTAGTTGTCCTAGGGGATAGTTGTCCTAGAGAGTAGTTGACTGGGGGTGGTTATCCGGGGGTGGATGTCCAGGGGGTAGGTGTCCGGATACGGTTCATGATAATTAGGATAAGGGTTTCTGTAATATATACATAGATTGTATGTAACTCTATTCCGACGAGCTTATATTGTGGCTTTTGCTTGGATCAACCAAATTTAGAGGTAACGAGTCAAAAATGATATATTAATTGTACTCACTGTTTGCCTAGATCCTGCTAAATGCGAAATGAATCGTGGAATGAGGCGTCGAGTCCTTTTCTCAGAAATATTTATCCAATTATAGCCAATCTTACTCGGTTCAAATAAAAGTAACTGGCAAGTGACATTGAGCGGTCTCTTCTAAAACGTGATATAAAGGCGTTTACCATGTCTCTTTCGCAAGATAAGAGGAGAGTTTGTTTTTGGGACATGAATCCGTGTGTGAAGGATGCCAAAATATGTAGTGTGTCGAAGTAAATGATCTAGAAATCAAACTAATGCAGATTCTTTTAGCAGAAATGTGCTTCGTTCCATCAGATTTCCGTGTAGAAGTAATGGATAACCAGTATGAAATGAGAGACATAGGTTGCGTGAGTTTGTATTTCAACGTCTGGTGACGTGGCATTGAGCAGTTACCTAATGCAGTCAGTTGGATCATGTAGTACAAAAACGAAACCAGAGGAAAATACAAACAAATAGAGCGAATAAACCAGACAAAAGAATACATATCTCTTGCTTTAATAGTGAGTCGGTCATGATGGGCATTGAGACGCAAATAGTATCGTGTGATAAAGTGGACTGGGCATTCTGAACAACAAGTGGAAACCTTATGCTAGGAGTCCACTGGGCCGGCGCCAGTTGGTGCCAGTTCGCGCCAAAGATTATGTGATTGGCGCGTAGTGGCTCGCTGTGGCGCCGAATTAATGTCCGCTCGGCATGTGTCGCCAAGTGGAATAAACTGGGTGCCATATGGCGTGCGCCAAATGCCACCCGGCTTGCTCCAAAATGTTGCGCCAGTTTGCGCCAGTTTGCGCCATTTCACGGCCATTTGATTCCAAAATTCACCCTGTTGGCGCCATTCGCGCCAATAGACGGCTACTTAGCGCCACTTGGTGATTAGTTTGTGCCAAAGGTCGCCAAATTGGTTTGAACTTGCCGCCGCTTGGCGCTACTTGCCGACTATATAAATACCGGCCATCGGCTACCTGGTTCAGACCCTCCTCAGCTGCTGTATGAACAACATCTCTACTAAATATTTACAATTTTGATATGTCTGAGGCTTTTGATAATGTTGGAGTGATGATGCTGCTCCATCAGAAGATGATGAGAGATGCTGAGGTGGCCACTGCCTATTAACTTATGCTGGCCAATCCTGAAGAAGAAGAGCCTCCTAAGAAGAAAAGGAAGCACAACTGGTGGTTTAGACCCATGCTCCACCCACAGTTGAGGGCCGAACGTGGAAAGTACCACACTTTGATGGAAGAGCTGAGGGAGAATTACAGGAGGAAGTTCAAGAACTACACCAGGGTGTCCCCAGAGATGGTTGATGACCTGTTGGTCAGGTTAACACCCCACTTGCAGAAGAAGGACACCCACTTCAGGAAGGCCATTCCCCCTGGTCTCAAGTTGTCCGTCTTCCTCTCGCCACTGGGGCCACCTATGCCGAGCTGTCTTACAACTTCCGAGTGGGCAAGGAAACCATCCAGAAGTTTGTCCCTGATGTAGCCAGAGCGATAGTGGATGAGTATGCTGCAGAAGTCATCTCCCTCCCCACAACCAATTAAGGCTGGCTTGAGGTTGCAGGTGATTTTGAAGCGAGGTGGAATCTTCCTCACTGTCTGGGAGCCTATGATGGAAAGCACATCCATCTCCAGAAGCCCAACAAATCAGACAGCCTTTACTTCAACTACAATCAGTTCTAATTCTCGGTTGTCCTGATGGCTCTGGTAGATTCAAAGTACCAGTTCATGTGGATCGATGTGGGTGGGGTTGGCCATCAGTCTGATGCCCAGATCTACAACAACAGTGAACTGAAGGAGTGCATTGAAGCTGGCACTTTAGGCATCCCAGATCCAGCTCCTCTTCCCCATGATGATGAAGAGCACCCTATGCCGTACTTCTTCGTGGGAGACGATGCCTTCGCCATGAGGACGTACATGATGAAGCCCTATGGCCGTCGTAACATGGACCAACAGCAGAAGATCTTCAACTACAGGCTGTCCAGGGCAAGGCGTGTGGTTGAAAATGCCTTTGGCATTCTGGCTCTGCGGTTCCAGTGCTTCCTTGGCCAGATGAGACAGGAACCAGATACAGTCCGCCTGCTCGTTGAAGCTGCCGTCATGCTGCACAACCTCATTAGGAAGCGCTATCAGGCACTGGACGTCCGCATGTTGGACCAGGAGGATGCCCAGCACAACCTCATCCCTGGAGCTTGGAGAACTGCCGCCATCGCTGTGAGAAAGTCCTGTGTGTGTGTGTGTGTGTGTGTGTATTTGGGTTTTTACAGACGTGTATCAATCAGATATGATTATTTACGTCTGGGGACCGACTTTTAACGTCACCATCCGAAAGACGTAACTCAGTTTCGAACCTGCGTTCTCGGCTGAATCAGTTTGTAACTTCCACTTTTAGCAGGATTACAGGCGCACGCCGCAACGCCTAGTTGTGGCGTCCTGCGATGCCGCCCTGCGATGGCGCCCTGCTTTTATAAGCGGCAAGTGGCGCCGAATGGCGGGCAACCAGGTGGCATTTGGCGCGAAGTAGTCACCAATCGGGTGCCGTTTGGCTCGCGTAGTGGCGCAAACAAGGTGCCCCTTGGCGCCAAGTGGCGCCATGTGGCGCGAAATCTCATTGGCGCAACTTGGCGCGCGCCATTACATTCCAGTGGATTCTAATTGGCGGATTGTTTGCGCCAAAGGGCGATATGTTCGCGCCATTTGGTGCCACTTGGCGGACACTTGGCGTTGATTGCTCGATGCAAGTGGCGCGAAAAAAATTTCAAACATTTTGAAATTTTCTTGCCGCCACATTCAAATGTGGCGCCGTTACGGGCCACCACGAGCCAGTTGGGAGGCAGTTTGAGCCACTACACGCCACTAGGCACCTTATTGGCGACAGTAGGCGCCAAAGTAAATTGCATTGGCGCAAACTGGCACCAACTGGCGCCGGCCCAGTGGACTCCTAGCATGAGTCTGTTCCCAGACAGAGAATAAACTACTTTAAATGACGATGGGAGGGGAGGGGACTTTAATATATATCAATTGCCATTGCATCTAAGTACTTTTCCCGAAATTCAATTACTTAAATCTACAACACTAGCGAATCTAGACAACTCAAGAAAATGCCAGCATTTGGTTTCCCAGTAACTATTTGATTATGTTTTGAATCTTTACAAACGAGTTTCGTTTTAGTATGATTTGTATACATGTGCTTATTTATTAGTACCTAAATCTCAGGGAATTTATACTAAAATTAGGAACATAAAATCAACGATAATTGCCCTACAATATTTGAGAAAACCTTCATGAAATTCGAATAGAGCAGAAACAAAAGTATCGAAGCGCAATGAGGCCTTATGCTAGGAGTCCACTGGGCCGGCGCCAGTTGGTGCCAGTTTGCGCCAATGCAATTTACTGTGGCGCCTAGTGTCGCCAAGTGACACCAAATGGCGCGAACATATCGCCCTTTGGCGCAAACAATCCGCCTATTGGAATCCACTGGAATGTAATGGCGCGCGCCAAGTTGCGCCAATGAGATTTCGCGCCACATGGCGCCACTTGGAGCCAAGGGGCACCTTGTTTGCGCCACTACGCGAGCCAAACGGCACCCGATTGGTGACTACTTCGCGCCACTTGCATCGAGCAATCAGCGCCAAGTGTCCGCCAAGTGACACCAAATGGCGCGAACATATTGCCCTTTGGCGCAAACAATCCGCCTATTGGAATCCACTGGAATGTAATGGCGCGCGCCAAGTTGCGCCAATGAGATTTCGCGCCACATGGCGCCACTTGGAGCCAAGGGGCACCTTGTTTGCGCCACTACGCGAGCCAAACGGCACCCGATTGGTGACTACTTCGCGCCAAATGCCACCTGGTTGCCCGCCATTCGGCGCCACTTGTCGCCTATAAAAGCAGAGCGGCATCGCAGGACTTTCTCACAGTGATGGCGGCAGTTCTCCAAGCTCCAGGGATGAGGTTGTGCTGGGCATCCTCCTGGTCCAACATGCGGACGTCCAGTGCCTGATAGCGCTTCCTGATGAGTTTGTTCAGCATGACGGCAGCTTCAACGAGCAGGCGGACTGTGTCTGGTTCCTGTCTCATCTGGCCAAGGAAGCACTGGAACCACAGAGCCAGAATGCCAAAGGCATTTTCAACGACACGCCTTGCCCCGGACAGCCTGTAGTTGAAGATCTTCTGCTGTTGGACCATGTTACGACGGCCATAGGGCTTCATCATGTACGTCCTCATGGCGAAGGCATCGTCTCCCACGAAGAAGTACGGCATAGGGTGCTCTTCTTCATCATGGGGAAGAGGAGCTGGATCTGGGATGCCTAAAGTGCCAGCTTCAATGCACTCCTTCAGTTCACTGTTGTTGTAGATCTGGGCATCAGACTGATGGCCAACGCCACCCACATCGATCCACATGAACTGGTACTTTGAATCTACCAGAACCATCAGGACAACCGAGAAGAACTGCTTGTAGTTGAAGTAAAGGCTGCTTGATTTGTTGGGCTTCTGGAGATGGATGTGCTTTCCAGGCACCCAGACAGTGAGGAAGATTCCATATGGCTTCAAAATCACCTGCAACCT